ACCACACAGCACCACTTTTACCTGCAATTCACTCCTCACGCGCTCCTTAACCTGCATTACTAGTCTTACAGCACTGAAACTGGACGCAGTAAAAAGTGAAAGAGGAGGCTGGATACTAGAAAACTTACATCTGGACTCCTCATTGTAGGAGGGCACGACAACAGACAGCTCCCTTGAATGGGGGTCAAACAGACTAGGGAATGGCTCCTTGTTCCCTGAAGCCGTGAGGAAGTGTTTCTCCTGCTCCGCACGTGTCTGGTCCACCATACCGGCTGTATTGTGGGCGATTATAATAACCTAAAGAGAATGAGATACAAATGAGATGTCGAAAGATGTTGTCAGCTAAACAGATCAGGCATTTCAGCATCACCCCAACAACGTACATCAACTTTTTTGTCGAGTTCAGTGATGCGGCTGCAGTGGATGCCACAGATGAAAGACCTCCATAGTAACACAGACAAATCACATAACAGCGCTATTTGGTGTAACAGTGAATTTAGACCAGACCATTTTTACTCAGTTTCACACATTGTTCTGCTCTTTTTAACATATGGACTACTTACACCGGTCAGGCATAACATTCTGACCACCTCCTTGTTTCTACGCTCATTGTCCATTTTATCAGCTCCACTTACTATATAGGTGCACTTTGTAGTTCTACAGTTACAGACTGTAGTCCATCTGTTTCTCTGATACTTTGTTAGCCCCCTTTTACCCTGTTCTTCAGTGGTCACAGAGCAGGTACTATTTGGGTGGTGGATCATTCTCAGCACTGCAGTAACACTGACGTGGTGGTGGTGTGTTAGTGTGTGTTGTGCTGGTACGAGTGGATCAGACACAGCAGTGCTGCTGGAGTTTTTAAACACCTCAGTGACACTGCTGGACTGAGAATAGTCCACCAACCAAAAATATCCAGCCTGATGAAGGACTAGAGGATGACCAACACAAACTGTGCAGCAGCAGATGAGCTATCGTCTCTGACTTTACATCTACAAGGTGGACTGACAAGGTAGGAGTGTCTAATAGAGTGGACAGGGAGTGGACATAGTGTTTAAAAACTCCAGCAGCACTGCTGTGTCTGATCCACTTGTACCAGCACAACACACACTAACACAGATTTAGATCAGGGGTGTCAAAGTCAACCAGTAAAAGGGCCATATTAAAAAACCTCCACCAATCTGTGGGCCAGAGAACGTCTGTTTATTCAAAAAACGCCAAAACACCAACATCAAGTTGTGGTGAACCTTGAAATATGACATAATGAAAACAATATATATTCAAAAATCAAACAAATATGTAAATAAGCTACAGTACACGTTATGCAGATTACAATAGTCTGTATCGCTGGGGATTGTAGTGCAGCATGTTGTGAAATGGGCTTATATTAATAATTTTGATAGGATTATGCTACGGGCCTGACCTTGTGTTTGACACATGGGATTTAAACCGTGCCACTTTCAACTCCTTGGGACCACCGGTGGTTCCAAAATGCACATCATATTCTTCATAACTTTCATATTTCATAAGCCACATTCTAAAGGTGGGGGTCGTATGAGAGCTGTAACTGTCTTCTCTCCAGTCAAATAGATGGTGATGTAATTTTAGACCCTTATAATAAAAGAAGCTGAACTCACATTTTTTGTTCTACTGAAAGTCGACCCATTTTTCCACAAATCTGGGCTATAAACTATAAACAGATGGCGTCTCTTCAGTGATCTGCTCTGTAAACATTATTTTTATGAAATAAATCAAAGAGCGTCTCAGATTTTTGTCTTTCAGCAGTAAATTGTAAGCATATAGCAACATGTGTGATCATAAAACACATTTTCTGTTAATTTTAGGGGAGCTTTTACAAAAAATAAATAAATAAATAAAATAAAAATTTACATTTATTTCATGCAGTTGCTGAATAATTTGCCTTATGATTTGGAGATGGAAATTCAGATGGACAAACCAAAATATACCCTGGTCAATAAAAGGTTAATTTTGCTGAAAATTTGTCGTTAATCTAAGAAAAAAAAATATAAGGAAAGACAACAAACAGAAATAAAAAAAGAAGACAAAAGAATACGAAACAAAACAGAAGAAACAACACGATGAAGAATGGAAGAGGGTGTAAAATAAGGAAAGGAAAAGGAAATGAATGGAAAACAAAGTACAGATAATATCCGACGCTGTTCGCTGCTGGTTTGACACGTATGAGCGCCGTTTCTGCCCTTTTTCTCAGTAACAGTCGAGATGTTTTACTGTAATATTAATATCCTCTGTTCCGTGTGAGGGTCGGATTCAGGACTTTAGTAAGTCCTGCTCGAATAAAAGGTCTGAAGTAACTCAACCAGCCAACACCTGCTCAGGTACCAAAGCTATTCAGCTGCAGTGACGATACAGAAGAGACGCTCAGGCCGGACAAACAGGTCAAACAGCCGGGAGCTGAATGAACACAGAGGCACAGAAACGGCAGGTAGACGTTAAACTCACCAGCAGTAAGAGGAGCAGAGCCAGAGCTGCAGCAGCCTGGAGGAGCTGACAGAGACCCAGACCCAGCTCCATCCCTCTCGCTCTCTCTCTCTCTCTCTCTCTCTCTCTCTCTCTATGTCTCTCTCTCACTGCGGGCGGACAGTCACTCAGGGCAGGGAGGGAGGACGGAGCGCGGTGACGGAGCCGGTGAAGCTGTTAAAGCGCCATTGCTGAAGTTTCTCCACCTCACCGTGAAGCAGCTCTGCGGAAATGAACCGCTACTACTCCACATCATCACACCGCAGGGCTCCATACTGACCCGCTGCCTCGGCGGCTTTCACACGGCGCCCCCTGCCGGCCTGGAGGACGCCGCTCCAGAGCCGGTTTAAGGGAAGTCCGGCCACTTCCGATTTCTCCCGTTGTATGAAAAGCACGACTGCGAAACGCCAGAGGGCGCCCGCGAGCGAGTCCTCAGTGAACGGAGTGAATGGAGCTAAACAGCTGAAAACGAAAAGTTAAATATTTTCTAATCATTCATTCAGGCACTCGCTTTAATTGTGGAAAGTAGAAAGACGTATTTTTCTTAAAAAGATAAGAAAAATTGCCACTATGTTTATTTTTTTCAAAAAAGCAAACGAGTTTTGGGCGGTAGGACGCTAAAGCCGGTTTATGAGGAGTCTGGCCACTTCCTATTCCCCCATTATATCAAAAACAGGACTGCTAAACAGCAGAGGGCGCCCGCGAGCAAGTCCTAAATGAATGGGAGTGAATGGCTCAACGGCTAAAAACGAAGTTAAAATAGTTTCTAATCACTGAACCAGAACGTTTCTTTAGTTTTAGACAGTAGAAGGATGAGTTTCACTGAAAAATAAAGAAATCTCACCTGTATGTTTCGTTTATTCTACAGCAAACAGGTTTTGGGCAGCAGAAGGCGGGCTTTACTGCTAGAGAGTGATGATTGATTGGCGAGCGGAGCAGCTCATTGGCTGTTCGCGCTCACTGACGTCATGAACATACATGAGGCGCCGTTTTAAACTCCTATAACTCGAGTTTAAAAGCTCTTAATTATAACAGCAGTGCTAAAGTGTTTTGTGCTGTTCTGTGTTCAGGATATGACTATTAATTTACATTAAAAATGTTTAAGCATTTATAAACTGTGATTTTGCTCAAATGCTCTATATCAACCCATTCATTTTGGACTCGCTCGGGATCGCCCTCTAGCGTTTGAGAATCCCGGAAGACATTGCAGAGTGGCAATTCTCCTCTCTACAAGTTCTCTGCGCTAACGTCAGTGCTACTGAGTGCTGATTGGTTAGCATTACCAGAGCTGGTTTATGAGGAGCCTGGCCCATCAGCCTTTCACAGACAAGCTTTGTTAAATTGGTTATTAATTTACAAACATAGTTTTTCACCTCATCAGTGTTTACTTTGGAACAATGAACAGATTATCTATAAGGGAAGGTCACTGTTCTCACATCTGTGGTTTAATAACAACAATTTGCTGATTAACCAATTACTTGATGATAATCATCATTTTATTTCCTACTCTGACTTTCGCAATAAATTTGGTATCAGTTCAATTACAGACTTTAAGAGGATGTGTGACTCTGTCCCTGACGGTCTTCTCTGTTTAATTAAAAGTAATCGAAAGGTTATAGAGGATTTTTCTCTACAGAACTGTATCACTTCTATTAACGGGGTTGATATAATAGATAAGAAGTGTAACAATAATTTTATAAGGCAGCTTTTATTTCGTAAATCTATTCCATTAGCAACATTACAGTGGTCAACTCAACAAAGGCAGACCAGCCGCACAGTTTGGACTCTCCTCTATAAATGTGTTCTTAATAACAAGATGAAAGAACTGCTTTATAAAATATTGCGTAGATGCTGCCCTGTCAGTGGCACGTTGAGTAAATTCTTTGACGTGAATCCACTGAACCCTTATTTTGTAATTGTGTATTCTCTTACTCGTTCTGGGTCGATCTCTTTTTTTTAGACCTGAAGAGAAAGATTGGTAAATAAATCCCCCTCAAAAGCCACTGTTTTATATATTTTTTTGATGATCTTTTGATGACCACCTCAAATGAATGTTTTATAATAAACCTGATCATAACAATAGCTAAATTTTATATACATAAGATGAAATCTGCCAGAAAAATACCTTCATACATCACGTTTGTTCGCACAGATCTGTGTAATTACATTTCTATATTAGTGAATTGGCACCAGCAGCAAAATAAGAAATACTGTAAATCCGTTGCTGCGTTAAAGCTTTTCAATTTTATTTAAATCCCAATGGTATTCTTTTTGTTTCTGTTTTTCTTTCTTCTTTATTTTTTATTTTGTTTATTCTGGGACGTGAAGGCTGTAGTGCATCCTATTGTTATGCTTGTTTGTATGTATATGGTTATATACTTGAAATAAAATAAAAAAAATAGAAAAAGTTATGGATATCTATGATCCATACTAACCCATTCATTTTAGTCTCGGGGCGCCCTCTAGCGTCTGACAAGCCCAGAGGGCGTTCCTGAGTGGCAGCTCTCCTCTCCCCACGCTCTCTGGCCGCGCTGCTCTTCTCCCCACCTCATCCTCCTTCTTCACGTGGTGTTTTCTCAACATCATGGCGGCGGGTTTCAAGTAAGTGCAGCAGAAACGTTTCTCTCCCCGAACTGATGAAAGTTGTTTACTGCCGTTCTGTGTTTTGGCGTCGGCGGCTGTAAATGATGGAATATAAACAAGGCGATAATACGCAGATAAACGGACTTGCAGGTCCAGCCAACTGACCTCTCGCCGATTTCAGACTGTTGTGGTGTTTAAACTGAGAGGACAGGTGGTGATGATCATCTGTCGGTACTTCTGAATTACTTTAATTACTTTCTCCTGTTTTGTCAGGACTGCAGAGCCGTTGGAGTACCACAGGAGCTTCTTGGTAAGTATTTCCAACGGGGGGCAATTCACCTCCTTGTTTCCACTTTATCAGCTCCACTGACCATATAGTTTCACTCTGTAGCTCTACAGTTACAGACTGTAGTCCATCTGTTCCTCTGCATACTTTGTTACCCTGTTCTTCAGTGGTCAGGACCCCCATGGACCCTCACAGAGCAGGTACTATTTGGGTGGTGGATCATTCTCAGCACTGCAGTAACACTGACGTGGTGGTGGTGGTGTGTTAGTGTGTGTTGCGCTGGTACGAGTGGATCAGACACAGCAGTGCTGCTGGAGTTTTTAAACACTGTGTCCACTCACTGTCCACTCTATTAGACACTCCTACCTTGTCGGTCCACCTTGTAGATGTAAAGTCAGAGACGATAGCTCATCTGCTGCTGCACAGTTTGTGTTGGTCATCCTCTAGTCCTTCATCAGTGGTCACAGGACGCTGTTGGCTGAATATTTTTGGTTGGTGGACTATTCTCAGTCCAGCAGTGACACTGAGGTGTTTAAAAACTCCAGCAGCACTGCTGTGTCTGATCCACTCACACCAGCACAACACACACTAACACACCACCACCACGTCAGAGGTACTGCAGTGCTGAGAATGATCCACCACCCATATAATCGCTGCTTTGAAATACTGGTCAAATCTGAACATACCTCTCTGTGGGAATTCTGAAAGCTGTGCGTGTGTGATTGAACAGCTGTGGCAGTGATGGATTCATCTGGATATCTTTGGAGTACTTTGCTGTAGATTCACGTACGCCCCTGTATAAAGTGCAGTAATGCTTTTCTCCACACAGAAAGAAAACTGCCGGCCCGATGGCAGAGAATTAGGAGAGTTCAGACCCACAACACTAAATATTGGTGAGCATAATGTGATTTCTATGGTGTACATATTATTATATCCCTGCTGTCGGAAGAAAACCTCGTTTTTCAGTTTTTCACATAGTCTGAAAATGCCTGTGACCCTTTACATTGTGTGTAAATTTCATGAAGAATGGACCAAAATAAACGGCCCAGAATGGCTTGGTAAAAAGTCTGGTTCCATTGACTTACATTAAAAGTAAAGTAGGTTTTTTCTCCTGTAAAGTTACCATTTTGGAGATACGAGGTTTCTTCTGACAACAGCGTTGTATTTATATATTATATGATTTGAATTCCATTTTGATGTAGGCCTGTATTTAACCTAAACATCTTCAGTCAAACTACAGGACGAAGAGCCGACGGTTCTGTGGAAGCCCATTCCTACCAGGTTTCTGGCAGCAGCATGTCTGTATTTTTCACTTAGTGCTGCAAAATAGTTACGTATTTTCTAATAATAGTGACATCTTAAAAGCATGATCTGTTGTCTTAAAAAGTTGACTCAGTAACTTAAGTGACTTTTCTCGAATTTGACTTGAAATATTGACTTAACCCCCTATTGCACGGTGTTGTCCATATGGCAACAATTATTTTATCTCAGTTTTACTAAAAAGCAGTAATATAAAATCTGTGTTTACCTATTTAAATGTGGAAAAGGGGTCTTTTACTTTGAAAGGACAAATATTGTATGATATCACATGATCAGGAATTTTTATGATGTTGTTATTACCATATATTCCAAACACCAATTGAAACTATTAATTTACAACATTTGTAAATTTTGAGTCGTATGTTTCATGAAGTATAAGTTGGATTTGTTTGGTCTTGTTTTCAAGAAAAGGATGTTTTTAGAGAAAAAAAATATTTTATGGTGCTTTTTTTTAGATTTTATGGTGCTATGGTATGATTGTGCATTGTTGCCATATGGCAACAATTTACCAAATACCCCACTTTAAAAGTATCTTAAAATATTTCCATTATTTAAGCAATTTTAAATAACAAAAAGTAATAATGTCTAAGTCTAATAATGTCTAAGTAATAATTCATGCAGTAGAGGGTTAATCTCAAAATAATTGCTTAATTTCTTGAGATTTGATGAAAGTCTGTCACAGTAGAATCATAATTTGTTTGTGATTTTTCAGTAAAGTACTTCTTTAGGGTAGGGCTGGGCAATATGACAATATCCATCATTATCGTGATAAATTACATCACAGTGTGTCACAATATGCTTTTCCAAGCATGTCGTGGAAATGATCAGTACTTAAACACTTCCCAACTACACATTTGATTAAAAAGAGAGATAAATTAGGCCTGTTTACTTGAGTTTAGTGTAGCATAGTATCTGAAATGTTGAATGCAAATTATTGTATTCTTAGTATCTAGTAGTATTTCGTGAAAGTGTGGCTCCACTTTGTCTGTTCTGACTAATCAGATGTCAGAAAAAAATAAATATTGACATATTGTGTATCGCAAAAACATCTTAACGTATTGTGATATGTTTTTGCTATATCGGTCACCTCTAGTTGAGGGAGAGCTTGTCATTATATCAACATGTTAAGTCAGCATTTAAAGAAAAGTCATTATTCTGACAGTGAGTGATTATTTTGATAAGTATTGAGAGCTGGTGATTATCAGAAGTCAACTACGTCAGAATTTTGACCCGCTGCTGCCAGAAACACAGCAGGAATGAACTTCCATGATGTTCTGCGTCACCAGTCCTGTATAATTACTGCGGTGCTGTGAGGTTCACCGTCCAAGTGTTCCTTATCTGTAGGTTCTATTAGCACAGCTGATGGTTCAGCGCTGGTGAAAATTGGAAACACCACGGTCATCTGTGGCATTAAAGCAGTGAGTAGCATCCTGTACTCCTCAAATAAATACCCCACATCCCTTCACAGAAAAGTAACACTGACTCTGTATGTATAAAAAACAGGAATTAGCAGCGCCCTCTGCTGACGCTCCTGATAAAGGATATATTGGTAAGTGTGAACGCATCATAATTAAAAGTCCTCGGTTGTGATGCTGAATGAAGTCTGAGCTGAGTTGCCTTTTTGTGCCTCAGTTCCGAATGTAGACCTGCCTCCATTGTGCTCGTCCAGATTCCGGCCTGGACCGCCGGGAGAGCAGGCGCAGGCGGCCAGCCAGTTCATTGCTGATGTCATCGATGGGTGAGACGACTTACTTTGCTTTCCTCTCTCTATTTAGTGTCTGTTTAGTTAGTGATTCAGCTCTGTGGTCTTAATCCTAGTAATAGGGTCACCTGCACCACACATTTCCAAGTTTGCTGTGGATTAAACTGGAAAATTTCTGCACTGTTTACATCTTAACGATTGAACTAAGTTATTCAGTGTTTTAATTTGAAATGGCTCATCGTAGAGAAACTGGCCAACTCTGCTTCCTTACAGTGGTGGTGACAGAAACTGAGGGTTGCAATGTCAACAACACAAATATAGTAATTTTATTTACTACCAAAAACATCTACTGAACCCTACCTGTGTCTTTTAAGTTTGTCCATATAATAATGAAAATGGTAAAATGGTAAATTAACTGGAAAAACATTTTTCTTTTGGTTACTATTTTGCCTTACAACGTCCTGCATGTACCTCCACCGTGCATGTCTTTTATAAAATACCTTGTAGCCTTATCTCCAGTGTATAGTAAAACAATATCTCAGACATCAGTGTATTTGTGACCATTTCATGTAATAACTTTGATCTGGAGGCATTAAATTCGTCACATGTCTGGCTCCTGTCACCAGCATTGGAATAGTTATTAATGCAGAATTTTTCATAAATTGGTGGAGTTCCCCTTCCCTTACAAGCACTTCATTTTTAAAATCCAGTGTGCTATAGCAGCGATCCTGTAGGACTGGGACTGAGAAACACTGATTTATACTATCTATATGTCTATAAAAGTCTTTGGTCAGGAACAGTTTTATGTATATTTGCTCAGTATTTTAGATTTGATATGTTCTTGAAGGTAAATGAATAAACGGTCCATTTGCTAATTACAGCTCTCAAATAATAAAGAAAGAAGACTTGTGCATTGAGAGGTCAAAGGTGAGATATTTCAAGTGATACTCTAAATATTTTCTTAGTTTGTAAGGAAGCTTTGAGACGTAGTACTCTGAGTAAATGTGTGCGTGTGTGTGTTTCAGCTGTGCTGGGTCCTCTACTGCGATATCATGTGTTTGGACTATGATGGGAATTTACTGGATGCGTGTGTGGTGACCTTACTGGCAGCTTTAAGGAACAGTAAGGAATGCTGATGATATAACTCTTATATAAATACGTTTACCCATCAGTAATCAGCTGTGTTGTTACCTTCTTTGCAGCCCAACTTCCCACAGTCACAATCAACAAAGAGACAGATTTAGCAGAGGTTGATATCCAGCAAAAGAGGCACCTACAGATCAACAAGCACCCTGTTGCCTCTTCGTTTGCTGTATTTGATGAGTAAGCCTATTTCAATTACATTCAATTCAGTTAAATTCACAGATTTTTTATACCAGCGTTTCTCACAACCTGTGGTCCATGAAGCACCAACTAGTGGTCCATGGTCCTGTACTCAGGAGGAGGCAGCAGTTCGTAGTGGGCTGGTAACGGCACTTTGTCATAAAAACACGAGTGGAAAAATAAAAACCGAAGATTTTTATAACCAATATAAACATTAACAGAGATGCTCAAATAAAAACATCGCAACTGACATCTCTGCAAACATACGGTTTGTTAACATAACTGCAGATTTTGATTTCTGTGAACTGAAATAGCCACTCTGGTCTTTTTCAGGTCCTGATTCACAGGTTTTCAGTGTGAGCAATCAAGAAAAATAGTATTTTAAAAAAAGTTGATTTTAGTTTTTCTGTGGGCCGCTATGTATATTAAACACATACTCTAGTGTTTTTCAGCCTAATCCTTTCTGCCACATATACACCAATCAGGCATAACATAATGACCACCTCCTTGTTTCTACGCTCATTGTCCATTTTATCAGCTCCACTTACTATATAGGTGCACTTTGTAGTTCTACAGTTACAGACTGTAGTCCATCTGTTTCTCTGATAGTTTGTTAGCCCCCTTTTACCCTGTTCTTCAGTGGTCAGGACCCCCATGGACCCTCACAGAGCAGGTACTATTTGGGTGGTGGATCTGCTGGAGTTTTAAAACACCTCAGTGTCACTGCTGGACTGAGAATAGTCCACCAACCAAAAATATCCCTGACCACTGAAGAACAGGGTAAAAGGGGGCTAACAAAGTATCAGAGAAACAGATGGACTACAGTCTGTAACTGTAGAACTACAAAGTGCACCTATATAGTAAGTGGAGCTTATCATCCACCCCTACTATATCGTACCAGATGCTAGCGACAATGATTTTGACATGTTTCACTGTACTTAGGAAAGAACTCATAGTAGGAACCATTGGACAGCTACTAAATTTCATGAATTAACTTTTGAAATGCATAGCTAAATTGTAATTAAAAGTTTAATATGTGTCTTTTATGTCGTGTATACAACACATGACAGAATTATAGCCCAGGGGTCCTGAAGATCCAGTGTACAGCACAGTTTTATGATTATCTTGGCCTTAACACACTAAACATTTAGCAATTCAGCAATTAACTGAGGTTTTAGACCTGGAGTTCTAGTAGGAACATCAGCAAACTGTTCGTGACCTGTGTTATACTTTAACAATACAAGTCTTAGGATGCGATAGACATGGAAGGATCTCTTACCAATACTGTTTTTATGAAGTTCTCAAATACTGGAGCAACACAGCGAGAGGAGTTCGTTACATTTGCCTTCCCAGAGGTTCTCTGGTATCCATGTGGAATTGGGAGGATCCTGTAAAAACTCCATCTACAACACTACAATGCTAACATATTACCACAAATTATTCTCTCTGGAAAACTACAAGAAGGAACAAATTTTATGAATTTACAGCTAAAATGCACAGATATCTCTGACTACTACTACTGAATGACTTCCATCATAAATGTGGTTGTCTGTCTAAAATCGTCTCTGTGCTACAGATGAGGTAGACTGGGATTAGGTTGAAGAACAGTGGAGTGTTAAACTGCATCTTACATATTTAAGATCCCTCTTAATGGGAATCTAGTACCAGCTGTTCCCTCAGTCACAACCCCAACCATTGTAAAAGAAACTCAGGTTGGAACTAGGCCTGGACAATTTGGTGAAAATATCTAATTGCGATTTTTCCGACTAATGCAACTGGATTTTAAACTGTGATTTTTTTTTTTTTAAATAAATTGAGATTCAGGCTCATGATTTATTTTGGCCAAGAAGACCAAAACATCCAAGTTTTTTGTCTTGAGGCTCGACCCCTGAACGCAGTTTGCCAAACTGCCAGTAAGTCGTGGTTGTGGTGTCACAACACATGGAGGTTTGGTTGCCACTCACCTACAGGCAGCTCACAAACTCTTATTAGGTTCCGTTTCCCCTCTTAAAACTTAGAACAAATGTTTTTGCTAAATGTACACACTGAATAAAGATGGTTCTTTAGTAAAGATAAATGGTTCTACATAGAACCATAAACACTCAATGACTCATTTATATGCTTGAAAAGTTCTCTGCGTGGTGAAACGGTTCTAAAGATTGATGGAGAATGTGTTGTATATGGTTCTATATTGCACCAAAATGATGTTCTATTGTTACAAGCTTGACACAGCAACAATAGCAGAACCCTTTTTGGTGCTGAACCATATACAGCACATTCTCCATCAATCTGAAGAACCATTTTACCATGCAAGAACTTCTTAAGCATGCAAATGGGTCATTGAGTGTTTATGGTTCTATATAGAATGACTGTCTTAACATCTTTTTTCTTGCGATTTGAAAATTGCAGGTTTAAATTACGATATCGATATAAAAACGATTCATTTTTCAGCCCTGGTTGGAACTGAATTTCATAACTGAAGTCTGAGCTTGTACTGAAACCAGTCTCCACTCTCTGTGCAGTACGGTGATTATAGTGGACCCGACAGCAGAGGAGGAGAGCCTGGCTACGGCGATAATAACTGCAGTCACAGATGAGGACGATCAGCTATGTGCTTTCCACAAACCAGGTGAGAACAGGTGGCCATGTCCCGGACAGGATTTATCCCATAGTGGACACGTGCATCCTAATCATGGATAGTATAGAGGTGAATTCTGATTCTGTGGCATGACCTCGTTGTAGATGAGAAGCACTTAAAGGAACTGGCTTGTAATTCACTCAAATCTAGCAGGCTGAACTTCTCCACAAGCCAGACAAGCTTCATAAGAGCAGTGCTTTATATGACCGACACTGTGACTTGTTCCTTATCCAGGAGGCAGTTCCTTATCGGCAGAGAAGCTTCAGGACTGCATAACCCGTGCCGTGACGCGGCACCGAGAGATCGGCAAACTCATCGACAAAGTCACAGAGAGCACCAAGGCATCGAAATGAACACAAGAAGACGTCTTTTATCTAAAAGTTGTATTTTTCACTGTCAATATATATTTCTTTTTTTTATCACAATAAAACTGCTGACAAATACCATTTACAAAACTTCTGCCTCAGTGTTCAGAAATGTCTTCTTCCACACCCCTGCTCCTGAATTCTTACCCCCCCCCCTCCCAATAAGAATATACATAGACTGCCCCTTCGGTTCATCGAAATGCCATTTTAAAATGTGCTGTATAAAAACTGCACATGAAATTGCATGCTGGGAGAATAAGGCCCGTCCCTTCACCATCCAGCCTGCAGAAAATTTCTCACAATTTGTTCACCAGCAGAGTTTCAGGCACGTCCGCAGGACTCTCTTTAGGACGCGTACGACTGTCTTTAGAATCCGTCATTGGGCCAGCAGGCTCCCACAGAAAGGGACGTTAGGAAGAAGGAAAATGAGAGCGTTCCTAGAGGACTCTCATCTCATATCTCTTTCTTTAAAAAAATATGATCTTAAATAAATGTCCCAAGCTCTAAAAATCCTTGTTCAAAAGTACATAATCATTTGGCCTGAAGTCGAGTGGATACACCACGTCCTCAGCTACAAAGTCAAAAAAAAAAGAAAGAAAAGAACGTGTGGTTGTCACAGTCAGTCAGGAAAAATGCTGACCAAGCACAGTGTCTTCCTCAGTGAAAGGCGTGTCCTGGATGAGTGGATCGAGCCTGTAGTCATGATTTGGGGAGGGGCTGGGGCGTGCTGCGTTTCCTCTTACTTCTTGGTTGGTTGGCGGAATGTTGCCGTGGCAGCGTTGCCTGAGCCCCCGCCCCCGCCGCCATAGCCATTTGCTGCTGCTGCTGCATTTGATGTTGCAAGAATTGCAACTGCATCCAGAAAAGAGAGAGAGGCATTAAGTTTTGTGGCCATGATGCTACAGTCTACAAAGTCTCCCCTCACAGCCTGCCATTCCAATTCACTTTCCCTCTTTTAGGAAGCCTAGAACTGAATCCAACTCTCCATTCCGAGTTTTTAACATGCCCTCACTACCTAGTTGCCTCACCACCTGGAATTACGTACGTAGCACCTATATTACACAAGTAACGACTCACAGGTCGGGGAGGAGGGGCAACAAGGAGCTTGTTTTTAGATAGGAACACACTAGTCACTGTTTTAACAAACAAACTTTGAGTAATTGCTTTGTATGGTTTAAGCTTAGATTGAGAACTGTGGTGCTGTTCTTTTTTTGTTGTTAATTCTGTAGCTCTTGCCAACTTTACATCACCAAAGTTACATCAGAAGTCAACAGTTTGAACATAGCATATCAAAAATGATAGTTTTTAAACATTAAAGTGGAATTTAAATAGTTAAAATCATTTAAAGTTATTCAGAGTGGACTGATGTGGAAAGCTCTGTCCTAGAGAAACCTGAAGATCCAGAATTGTTCACAGTGTTTCAAGAGCTTAATGGCCCTAAAAGCTACCTCACAGTAAGGTTTAACATGAAATGGATATTAATACAATGCCTGGAGCCTCAGACACTGCTTTGTGATAGTTATGCGATAACATTTTGGCCTAAATGATCATTTTTAATAATACATTCATGGTGGAGAGGTACATGCAGGGTACTGTAAGGCAAAATAGTACCCAAAGAAAACTACTTTCCAGATGCACCACCATTTTACCATCATCAAAATTACATATAAAAACTATAAGATGCCTAAGTTTACTGGTTGTTTTGGATAGTTAATATAATGGCTTTGTAATTTTTTTGCAAATCTGCAGAAGTTGGTAGGTTTCTCTACAAATAACCATTTCACATCAAACCACTCAAAGATTTTGTTTACATCTCAATGATTAAATTATACAGAGAACTGCTATAAAGTTAACAATCTCATTTGGTCATCTAACAAACTTCACTAAAGGAGACTAGTGAGTCCAAGTCAACGAGGGCATGTTAAAAACTACAGAAATGAATTAGGCGCAGTGGTTCTAGGTCTTCTCTCCTAATCTAATTGTTAACCGGGACTGTTTACATCCATCCCATTATTAGCTGCCCATAAAGTGTGCAACTGTGAGAGGAGAGCAGGCTGCTGTATTTACACGCACATGATCCATGAAACATGACTGGTGAGTTAGCAGAAGCTGGATGAGGCAGAGGGAGCAGAGGATGAAGGCTGGAGGGGTGGTGACTATGAGACAGAAACAGGAGGACCAGGGGATGAAGGGAACACATGAGGGAAAGGAGGAACAGTCAAGCAGCACCAGTGGCACAATAACTCTGCCAAACAGCGCAAATCAGCGTTACATTGCTTTGAATTGTGAAAGGAGCGCGCACACACACACACACACACACACACAAACGCGCGCACACACACACACACACACACACACACATACACACACAAACGCGCGCACACACACACACACACACACACACACTGCCCTGCCATGCTCTTTTCAAGCACAACGAGTGTCAGTAAGTCAGCAACTTCAACTCCTATCACAGCTTTAGCCGTTATTGCATTTGCGTACAGGAAAGGAGTCGGGACAGTTCAAAGAAAGGAATAAATAGTTTTCCATGTTGAAGCATAAAGAAACACTAGATTCCTGTGCATGTAACAGTCAGCCTCACCCATCAGAGTGAATCAGCGTATGGGTCATTCTACAGAAACGTCCACTTTTCCATCTCTCCATAGGAGTCACTGGTGTTACTGATCCTCATTGGTGTTACACATAATAAAGGTAACACCAAAGACATTTTAATGAAAGATGCATTTTACAAAATACCTGCTACAGAGCATCAAACCACATGTTGTCAGTCATGGAATATCCACTAAAATATGGAATTTAATCCATTTGTGTTCTATTTTTTCACAATGACCTCAGAATGAAGTCGGTCACACCAGTGACTTCAGCTAAAAGCTTCATATGAAATCATGAGCTGAATGAGAAAATATCTGATAACTGAAAGACACAGTGGACTCACCATGAGCTTTTCTTCATAGAGCCTCAGAAAACAGATAAAAGGAAGTCAAGTGATGTCATCAGTGTGACTTTTATTTCAAAATAAGAGACCCTGTGACAGGACTCCTGGGGAACTTTCATTATATATTTTATAATATTTACAAGCCATTTGTTTTCTTGGTCATTTAAATCATATATTCCATAGTCATGTATAGATTATTGTAGTTAAAATTGCAGAAAAATGTTTTGTTTACTTCAACATATGGCCTCAGCCTTCACACATGACTGTGGGGACGAGCTCTTCTGTGGTGCTTGGAATTCTATATGATTGATTTAAAAACCAATATTGCTAAATTGAGGCTCAAGAAGGTGTAATTGTGAAAATAACATTGTTTTATTTTAAAATATAAATAAATTGTAACTCTAGTTTTTCCAAGTACAATATATCTGTAAACGCTAGGGACACAAAAATGGACATTTCTGTAGAATGACCCATAAATGATGCATATGAATAGGTGTTCATAATAGGTGTTAGAAATATATATATAGATATATAATTCAGGTATTTGGCATAAGTTTTCCAAAATGTTTATCCTCCAAAAAAACAAAAACACATGTTTCTTGAACAGTTGGTGTTCAAAACCAGGGTGCCACAAGCTCTACTTGAATGTATTATTGAATGACTCAGGCTTGGACAGGCGAAAAATAAGTCAAATATGGTAGGAAAATCCCCTGCAAAGGTCACAGAGTGTCTATGAAATACAAATATCAAGAGGGAAGCCATGGAGATGTTACTAAAGCTGTCTTTGTGAATGACAGTAGCAGATGCTGCAGCTGTGTGGCACAAGGCATTCAATCTGTACAGTGGACACAGACATCTTACATATCAGACCCATTTTTTGGGGAAGGCTTTACGAACTTCAACTCAAATTCAAAAAAGGTAGTTCCAACAGATACAGTGCTCAAAAGTAAAGTCGTGGGACAACTTTATCATCATTTTTTATTATTTCATTTGCTGATGTATTATAGAAATTCTGTCTTATATTCCAAACGCATAATTTAGCTATAACTTATCAATCAATAATTGGGGTCCTACTGTAGAATAGCAACTAGAAAACTTTCATCTAACCTCACATTTAACTTCAAAATAAATGATGATACACAATTTTAAATGTATACAAGTTCAAACCAGAGATTTCCACACAAGTATTGAATAAGCAGTAGAACCCGAGAGGGAGTGTGTTATCGCAAATAACATCACGGCTGTGATTTGGTCGCCGTAGATCACCACAGCCGTGATGTTATTGGCGATAACACACTCCTCGAGTGTTCTATTGCTTTTATACAACAGTTAAATAAATACATAAACGCGGCATTCAATGTGTTTTAATGTTTGCAGTTCCTTCCGCCAAATTATAGTTCTTAAACAAGCAGCTTGTTGCTACGTCAGAGTAACGAGCTCCGCCCACTCGCTGCTCAGTCTGCTGTAAGACTCGCCTTTTGAAGTACGAACTGAGCCATAAAACTGCCGCAATATCAGGTTTAGCTCAGTTTTGTCAGTTTTTGCCAGATCAGTATTAATGTTGTTTTGTTCCAGCCAGTCTGTAAAGCATCTTACAGCCCATTTAGTTTGGCGAATGGTGTTGGGTTCATTTCTGGCTGATTCCAGGTTGTTCAGCTGTTCTTCTGTCACAGCTGCCGACCGAAAAGCTGCTCAGTGGTGATGACAGTTTGGGAATTTAGTGTCGTCTCATCTTCAGAGTCTGACCAAATCGGTTGTCGGTCAAATGTGATCTTAAAAGTGTCCATTTTCTGTTTCTGGCAAAGTAAGAAGTAAAAACGTTCAAATGGCCTGAGCGTCTCCTACAGCTGTCAGAGTCGAGTGTAGCAGAGTGATACAGTGTTTGTGAAAAACCTGTGATGTTATGGTGAAATATCAGCACGGTTAGAACGCTTCTCAACCAATCAGCTCGCGTGGCCGGAACTAACTGTTGTATAACTTTCTGTGAAAGTTTAAAAAAAAATAAAATAAAATATTGCTTTAGAAAACGTTTTGAATCTTTCATAAAATATGGTCTCAGGACGTCTGTGAGAGATACACTGTAAATTCCAAAATAAAGCATGAAAAATGTACTGAGATCTTGGAGAGAGACAGAAAGTGTCCATCTGCATTGCTTTGACCATCAAAAAGAGAAAAATCCAACAAACTAGATTGAGCATGAGTGCTAACTACTGCACTCCCCACCTAGAAGGCTTCAGACTGTCATCCAAAAGACAGGATATGCAGCAAAACATCCCAAATAAACCCAAATAAAATACTAAGGTAAGAGGCACTAATGTTTGAGTACTTCTACTTGCCTTATTTAAGCTTTCAATTAATTATCGGGATCATTCAATTATCGGGATAATTGAGTTTCATTCACTAAACCTGGTTGTTATTGCTGGTTTTGATATCTTTTCAGATTGATATATATGAATAAATCAATTATATCTTCAGTGTGGAAAGAAATAAACGGGACTACTTTTGAGCACCATATTTTAGAACTAGGAAAAAAAATAACGTTCCAGATTATTTAATACTACAGTAGACTGGCTGTGGTAGCCAGTTGTGGTTAACTTTGAATCTTCCATTCCAAAACAAGAGAAATATGTAGTGGACACTCCATAGCCAGGTTTGCCATTTGGCACAACGACAGATGGTCCATCCTGGCTTTAAGCCTCATTTTGAACATGCAGTCTGATATTCAGATGTCTATGGGTGTATGAGGTCAAAGTTGCTGCATTACTTGGATCTGTGGCTGGTGCTGCTGCTGCAGCCTCGGGGATGGCAGGCTGGACCCAGAGCCCTCCAGACCACAACCCAGCTGGGACAGCACTACCGCACCAGCGCGGGCCGAGGCCAGCACCGGGACAGGACGAGGGGGGGAGGTGGGGGAGGAGGAGAAGGAGGAGGAAAAGAATAGAAAAGAGAGAGAGAGAGAAAGAGAGGGAGGGAGAGGGGGAGAGAGGGAGAGAGAAACAGATAGACAGGGGAGGGCAAGGAAAGAAGGAAACAGAAACAAAAGGTAGAATGTAGCAGAGAAAAGGGGAAGTGGCATTCACCTCATGTAAATCAAACAACGAACCCACAGAATCAAAATGGAAACATAATCGGATTAACTGATTCATTTCTTGCTGACGGGTCAGTGATACTACACTACAAGTTATCAGCAAAATATTAGTACATCTACTGTTGTGTTAGTACCTGTTAGAGAGACACTTGAATGTAGATATATGTAGATCAATAAGGAAAGAGGGAGAAAATGGAACATTAGATGGATGTTTGCGCGTCTGAAGGTGTGTTTATGTGAGCATACACACCTGCTGTCTGCGGAGACATGAAGCCTCCCACCCCAGCGAGGTTGATGACAGCAGTCTGTTGTGTGGCGAGGCCCTGCTCCGCGGTCAGTCCCTGTTCAGTCTGCTCAAAGGAGACACTTTTCCAGTTACTGGTACTGATCAGTTATCTCCGCATGTTTTCACAGAGCACTTAGGCTGCGTTCACACAGCAGGTAGAAGTGGCCCAAATCCAGTTCTCTCATCAAATCTGATTTTTTTGTTTGGCTGTTCAGATTATCTTTTAAATGTGATCTGTATGCGACATCAGTCTGAACAGATCAGCTCCTAAACTGACCCACTAAAGAACAGAGCGTCACGCTGCTTCACGGCTCATCCAGAGGTAAACAATCACGACCGCCAACGAACGCCAGTCGCTCCCGGAGGATCAGCTTCATCTTCACCAGCATCACAGGAGCCATCATGAAGCTTCACTGACTGACAGCTGGGCTCATCACCCAGAATGTGTTCGAGCCGTAAAAACGGTGCTGCCACTTCTTTGGTTCGCGTCCTCGGATTCTTTAAACTTCTTTCACACTTTTAACTGTTCTTTGACGCTGCAGCCTCGTTCTCCTGCGGCCGCGTTCAGTTATTTCTTTCAAAATCTCTTTAAACACTAAGTCTCTTCTAATTTTGGTACAGAAACATCAGCCTAAATGTTTATGAGTCTCACCAGCGCAAAATATTGACGAATGTGGAGCTGGACTGACATAAAAGGCGCATAAATTCCAGTCCGGCTGTTCAGACTGAGCACTGCCACATATCGGATACATATCGGATTTCAGTACCACGTATGAAAGCGTCTCAAATTGGAATTGAAAATGTCAGATTCTGTGTTTTTGCTGATCACACTGACACACAGACACACATCTGTCTCACATATGGAGAAAAAGATCAGATTTGGGCCACTTTTTCCTGCTGTGTGAACAAAGCCTTTGTAACACCTAGTAAGTGTTTTATTCGATTACTGATATGTCTAAGTTACACTTTACAGTCACATTTACATTTAAACAAATGAAAGTTAACGCAAAATTCTAATGAACACTGTAGTCCTTATTTTACAGTAGGGCTGGACGATGTGGACATAAAATGCTATGTTCAATAAAACTGTTGGATATGACGATATCACAAGCGAATATGAATCAAATAGAGTGTCTCTGCCTGAATGTGCCTCAAATGTTGCTAGATTTTCTTGTTTTCGCTATGACAACAAATACACCGTTTTTTTATGTCTATACACGCCTGTAATAAAAAGGCCTGTAAAATTAAAGTCCCTCCTTAAAAAGCTCTTTATGGAAATGCAGGGTTGCTGTGTTTTTACAGGCTAAGTTGTAGAGCTGTGCTTAATTGTTTAAAAACTGCTGTTTAGCTGAACGGCTACTCACTCTCCATGTGGAAGAGCAGGGTTCAAGCCCAATGCATGTGAGCAATTTGATGTGTTCTGTCAAAACAGCCCTTAATGACATGTTTATAACAGAAACTCATCATGCTAAAGATAAAATATGCCACATACTCTTGAAATCAGGACGAAAAATGGTGACATTATGTTGTCACTATTCAGAGCACACAGGAGAAAGGTGCTGCAGATTAACTGAGATGCTACTTCTAAAATAATCTGCACCCTAACTGGAGTGGTGGTGAGCCGCTTAGTCTCTTACAGCCAAGTGGTCACGACAAGGTTTTAGCCCAGATTTTCCAGTTGCAGACAAATTTGCAAACCACTCAGCATGGCTACATGCACATGTGACATCCACTCATGTGCGTGTGACCAGTTCAGCTATGCGATTATCATATTTTGTGGCACACTTATGTTTTCAAGCAAGCTTAAAATTCTATATGAACCTCTATATGAATGTGATTATTTGTAGGAACAGTGATGGGCAGTAGCCAATGAGAGTGAGAGTCGCAAGCAATCAACACAACAGCAAACATGGCTAAAGATTGACTTGACTATTGATTGAGGAAGCTGCTCACTGCCGATATGGCTGGGTTTGGAGGGGCCTGAGTGAACATTTGCAGCAGCTTTTTCCTCTGTAGCAATGGCCACTCGTGTTCTAGGTGAGGCTGTGAGGTTATGGAAAGAGCACCATCCTTCGTTCAAAAACAATCAGATTTTTTTGTTCTCTTACTTCTTGTGGCTGCATAAAATAGTGCAGAAAGAACAACCCTAAGTTTCTCAAGCTCCAGTTTGGCGCATGAAGCTTGACTATTTCTATGAGACAATGGATTCTGTCCATTTTGTCCAGGCACACTGGCCATGTTTACATGCAAAGATTTTTGCCAATCTGATTGAATACATTCCGATTACAGATTAAGACTGAGGTATTTATGCTCACTCTATTCAACAATCTGATGGACAATCTTTGTTTACATGCTCACTACAAGTAATCTGATCCAACATGACGCGCATGCGTGGAGAACCACTTAGAGTAAACATTATCATGACCAGATCCGCCTATGATCCAGTCAGAGTGAGATGAGTTTTCAGTTGGTATGCTTGTGTTTTTAATTGCGTTAAAAATGTGTCAGACTCACATGTACTTATTAAAGAAGGCCGAGAGGAAGACGTCGTGTTCTGAGACACATAAGCTGGACGTCTGTCCCGCCGCCATGTTTAAAGATCAGAGCATAAACTTCGTCTCCTCTGCAGACCAGTTTCTGCTCCGCCATGTTGAACGGTATAAACTTTCACTATGACGTGACGAACATGATCAGAACGGACTTAAACTTTCCGATTGGGAATGTAATCAGATACAGGCGTTTGCACGGATATTATTCTTCTATTTAACTGATCATTTACAGGATTACCCACCTCGATCAGTCGGATAGAAATAGTATTCTGAATGGCCTCAATCAGACTAGACTATTCCGATTGAAGTGTTTACATGGACGTATTCTATTCTGATTGAGCTATTAGTCGATTATAAATGGACTATTAGGCTGCATGTAAACGTGGCTACTGTCACACATCTTTCCAGGTGAAAGACTCTAGTGTGTGAGCCCTATCTGGGTTTGCTTGTGTAGTGTACACACAGTTAAGTCAATGAACAACAGCTTGCAAGCAATAAATGTTGTGTAGCGCGAACAGTACAGAGATTCTAAAATCTGGAAATTTGTGTAGCATCCACTAAATATACTTGCAGCACCTTTCTCCAATGACCTCGTTCAAGTTGACTCACCGACTCCCCCTGCTGTTGTGGGCTGGAGGTGGCAGACTGGCTGCTCTGCTGCTGTGGAGAGAACTGTGAGAGCTGCTGCTGCTGCTGCAAAGAGTTAAAGATGAGTGGCGTCGCAGGGATCTGAGACAGAGAGACACGGATAATAGAAAGAAAATAAAAGACGGAACGAGAGAATATTAAACAAATCCATCAACAATATGTTTCCAGCACCCTTTAATTCTTCTGAAAGGTATGTCCTCACCTGTAGAAGATTGAGCGGCCGCAAACCTTGGGTATTATTCAGGCCGAAAGGACCACCTGGACATATGAAACAGCACAAAATGTGAACAGAACAGCATAAAGAAAGCCTGTTCCGCCCCATAAATATGTAAGTGTGAGGAAGTGAATACCTGCAGGAGCTGCAGGCTGCATGGTAGGCAGTGTGCTAGACATTAGGCCTCCTGGAGGCAAAATCCCACTCAGGTTTATCCCAGGCGCCAGTGTACCAGGACTACAGCCCAGCATGGGGTTAGAGCCAGTCATTAGAGTCTGGGGACTGCTGTGTACAACACAGACAATCACACACAAACACAATCACACAGATCAATCAAAAACAGTCTATGATACGGTACCACCTTTCTGCTGGTATAAAGTTGAAGACAAATATATTTTACTGTACGTGTGAGAGTGTACGATAAGAACATAACGAGGGAACATTCTGTCCCCTGACTTTTGCAGAACATGTCAGAACACAGTTCGGAGTGGACCCTGCAAAAAAACAGAGATAAAGAGGGCGGAATGTCGTACCAGACAGGGCCCACCACGTTGATGAAGTTGAGCCCGGGAGGGTTTGTCATGACCTGGGAGGAGGTGGTACCCGTGCTGATGGAGGTGGGGAGGGGGATAGTCATCACAGGCAGAGCCATCTGCTGCTGGGCGAAGGGGGTAAGTAATGCCGGCTGCTGGGACATGGCCAGGTCCTGTGGGGTGGGCGTCACTGACGGTGTGGCGCTCTGTACATCTACTGGGTGCGGCGTGGAACAGGGCGTGTTGGTTGGGGTGGGCGTGGATGGCTTGGGGGTTCCTGATCCTGAAAAGGGACAATGGACAGAAAATTATGGCATATATTTATGTATTCATTCTTAAAGACAGTTACAGCAAACTAATACCCATCATAACTGTGGTCATGTAGCAAAGGAAAACCAAACGCCTACTGGCAAATTTGTGGAGGCCACTTTTTGTGTAGTCCTAATTGACCTAAAGCAGGAGAGTCAAAATAAAGTCCTGGAGGACCACAGTACTGCAGACTCAACAATTACACGTGCAAGCACTTAATAAGTTTAACAAGGCCAGTAGAGCAGCGCAAAAACTAAAGTCAGAACTGTGGTCAACCAAGACCTGAGCTTCGAGGCAACTGATTTTCAAGCCAAATATAATTTCTTAGTCAAAAACAAACCAGAATGTACACTGATCCAGCATAACATTATGACCACCTCCACTAGAAACCACTTGTCTCTACACTCAATGTCCATTTTATCAGCTCCACTTACTATATAGGTGCACTTTGTAGTTCTGCAGTTACAGACTGTAGTCCATCTGTTTCTCTGCATACTTTGTTAGCCCCCTTTTACCCTGTTCTTCAGTGGTCAGGACCCCCATGGACTCTCACAGAGCAGGTACTATTTGGGTGGTGGATCATTCTCAGCACTGCAGTAACACTGATGTGGTGGTGGTGTGTTAGTGTGTGTTGTGCTGGTCTGAGTGGGTCAGACACAGCAGTGCTGCTGGAGTTTTTAAACACCTCACTGTCGCTGCTGGACTGAGAATAGTCCACCAACCAAAAATATCCAGCCAACAGCGTCCTGTGACCACTGATGAAGGACTAGAGGATGACCAACACAAACTGTGCAGCAGCAGATGAGCTATCGTCTCTGACTTTACATCTAAAAGGTGGACCGACAAGGTAGGAGTGTCTAATAGAGTGGACAGTGAGTGGACACAGTGTTTAAAAACTCCAGCAGCACTGCTGTGTCTGATCCACTCATACCAGTGCAACACACACTAACACACCACCACCACCTCAGTGTTACTGCAGTGCTGAGAATGATCCACCACCCAAATAGTACCTGCTCTGTGAGGGTCCATGGGGGTCCTGACCACTGAAGAACAGTGAAAGGGGGCTAACAAAGTATCAGAGAAACAGATGGACTACAGTCTGTAACTGTAGAACTACAAAGTGCACCTATATAGTAAGTGGAGCTGATAAAATGGACAATGAGCGTAGAAACAAGGAGGTGCTCATAATGTTATGCCTGATCGGTGTAGCAGTATGGTGGAGGTACTCACTTTGCATGGGGGAGAGCGTTGCAGGGGACAGTAGGCCGACCTGGCCCAACTCAATGGAGTGCTTCCGCGACAGAGACTGACCCTTATTAGGCGGAGGGGTTGGGCACTTCAGATGCCCACTGGGGACTTGCGTATTATAGGGATTACCTGGAAAACAAAAAGTGGGCAGCATTACTAGTGTACATAGCAGAGGAGACAACTAAGCCCTTTACCCATTAAACACAAAATAATATTCCATTCGTAAATTAAATATTTTTTCTCCCTCAGGCTCAGTTCAGGGTACATTAAAGTTGTCAATTTTGGATCACACAGACTTGTTTTGTTCATTACATATGTTCTGTTAGAGGGTCCTGCTGTACTAACCATACACTATCAACCGATTCTTACCTGAGGAGCTGGTGGTGGAGCCAGAGCCAGAGGGCAGTTTGATGGGTGGAGGTTTGTGCTTCACTCCCTTCCCTAACACTGAGGACTGGACCAACGCCGAGTATCCGTCCGTCTTAAAGGACATAACCAGAACAACCAATGACACATCAACCTTAAACACAAGTCAACTTAAACTAAGCTTTGGTTACATTAAGCGCAAAAACGACAAAAGCAAACCATTTCAATATACGACCTTTCACTTGAGCCCTTCCACCTCAATGTTTTTTCACTTTTTTTAGATAGAAAACAGGCTGTATGAGTTGAAACACCCTCCATTTGTTTAACAACTGAACAGCACAACGTTTCTTCTGTATCTCACCTCTATCTCCCTGGCAGGCGAGAGCTGGCTCTGGGCTCCCACACTGCTGGAGCTGTGCAATATCTTCACTTCACACTTTACATCTGTTTCATAAACATCCTTATACTGAGCCAAAAACCTGCCACAAAGAACAGAGGGTTAACCATACATATCACTCACATTCTAGCTACACATACAAACATACAGGAAAACAAGTAATGATACATGATCAATTAGAAAATGATTCAAATGATATCATATCGTTTGTGACAATCAACTCTTCAATAACCCTTGATTAACTGTACAAACAGGCAATGATGCACCACAATACTTAATCAATAGAGCACTTGAGGGAGTGTGTTATCGCGAAATAACATCACGGCTGTGATTTGGTTGCCGAAGATCATCGACGTGATTTTATTCGCGATAACACAAAACCTCGAGTGTTCTATTGCTTTTATACAACAGTTAAATAAATAAAGTAATAAATTAATAAACTGGGCCGTGAACGCGGCGTTTAATATGTTTTAATGTTCGCAGTTCCTTCACCAAATTATAGTTCCTTAACGAGCAGCTTGTTGCTACGTCAGAGTAACGAGCTCCGCTCACTCGCTGCTCAGCCGGCAGTTCGTTCCCAAGCTCCACACAGACCAACTGACAGTTCGGGAAATTGGGAATTTGGGAATTTACAGCTATTGTACTCACCGTTCAGCATCTACCTTTGAACCAAGGAGGAATCTGGTAAATGTGAAAGAAAAAGAAACATCGTAAAAATCTAACCTAATACACATCATACCACCACTAAACAGCATGATCTACTGTTATGTTACCATCGCATACAATTTTAATTAATATAAAACCTAAAATGTTGCATCTTACGGTGGGTGAATGAGGTGTAGGTCTGAAACATCATCGTCTGCTTTAGGGTCTTTGGCATTGTAGATTTTCCCATACACCAGGGGATCTCCCACAGACTGGAAGATAGTGACTTTTGTTCTCTGAGGCTGGCCACCCACTTCGCATTCAAAAATATAGTCGTCTTTCACATCCTGTACAAAGAAGGAGACCACAATGGTCATCAGACCTACAGTCTATGGCCCTATTTACATGGCATAAACATCCTGGGTGATGCGATCATGTTAAGCACAAGTATGAATGGGGTACAATGTGTCTCGGAGACATGCTGTAATCCGATCACTCGAACCATCTTCGGAGGTGGTCAAGGATGCATTTGACTACATAACCTTTGTACTACGAATGCTGAAGCATCTCTATGGCTACATTCACACAGCAGTTAAAAGTGGCCTAAATCTGATTTTCTCTCCAAATCAGATTTTTTTGTTTGGCTGTTCAGATTATCTTTTAAATGTGATCTGTATGCGACATCAGTCTGAACAGATCAGCTCCTAAACCGACCCACATGCGCAAAAGAACAGAGCTTCACGCTGCTCATCCAGAGGTAAACAATCACGACCGCCAACAAACGCCAGTCACTCCTGGAGGGTTCAGATTCATCTTCACCAGCATCACAGGAGCCATCATGAAGAACTTCTTTGGTTCGCGTCCTCAGACTCTTTACACTTTGCTTTCAGACTTTTCCCTGACGCTGCAGCCTCGTTCTCCTACGGCCACATTCGGCCATTTCTTTCAAAATCTCTTCGAACATGGAGGGTTTGATAAGTCTCTTCTAATTTTTTGGTACAGAAACATCAGCCTAAATGTTTATGAGTCTCAGCAGCGTGAAATGATGATGAATGTCGAGTTGGATTGATGTAAAAGTCACAATCTGGCTGTTCAGACAGATTGCTCCATATTGGATACGGATCGGATTTCAGTACCACATACGAAAGCGTCTCAAATCGGAATTGAAAATGTCAGATTCAGTGAGTTTATCTGTTCACAATGACACACAGACACACATCTGTGCCACATATGAAGAAAGAGATCAGATTTGGCCCACTTTTACCTGCTGTGTGAACAAAGCCTATGTGTCGTCAGCAGCAGCGAAGAACCGCCTTAATCATTTTTTCGTTTCCTTTGCTGTTTGCTTACAAGTTGCGTTAGCAATCCATGCGATGTAATCTGTCTCAACATTTATATGAAGAAAGACTTGCATGAAAATTATTGTCAAACAGCAAACAATGAGTGCCTTTACATGCGCTCAATAAGATAACTGCAGAAAATCAGATTTTGTCAGTAATCCGATCAACACATTTACATGCTCTTGAGTAATCAGATAATGGGAAACTCTGGGTCTACATGAGTCAGGCAGTAATCAGATTTCTGCTTTGCAACCAGCCAATAAACTCACAGAAGAAGATGTGACGTAAACGTAACATAAAACTCAAACTTCATGCCGCGTTTTAAACATCGACCCACCTTACCTGAAAATATGAACATACATCATCTAGAAGATGAAGAATATTTAAATCCTTTATTTTGTGTTTGGTTTCAGCATCGCTCCAAAAGTGTTTTGCTGCATCTCGCGACATCCACCGTCTGATCTCGCGCATGTGCAGACGGAGAAAACCGATAGAAATCGGAGTACGAGTACACATGCACTGAGAAATCAGATTACTGAGCTAAAACCCAGCTCTCTTTATCGGATTTCTTAATCGGACTTCTAGATCGGAGTATGCTGTTTACATGACCATTTGAATAATCGGATTACTGCAGAAATCTGATTATGATCAGATTATTGAGCGCATGTATACACACTCAATGTTTGCTGATGCCATGAATGTGGCTGGTCCCCACCTACCAGCCACAAAATCCGATCACATGTGGCAACTGGGGACACATTCGAGATGCATGGAAATGCCAGGTGTGAACGTGAACAAGTTCATGTTTACAGGTTCAATTCAAGCTCAGTTAACATACATATGCTACAAGCCTAACTGTAGCCTGTAACCTGTAATCAGAGCTTACGGACCATCAAGTATCCATTAACATAGTTAAGGACAAGACTTTACCTGCGCAGGCCAAACCTGTGTAGGCTGAGAATCCTCCAGTTTGATCGACTTCTCTACCACAGCGTACTTGTCCACCTGCAGCCCAAGCAAAAGCCAATACATTGAAGATGGGTCTGTTTAAATAATGGACATCTGCTCTACAGTATAAACCCTCAGAACAATACTGGAATAAAAGGACAGACTGTGTCCAAATAAAGTCAACTCAAAGACCAACAGACAAAAGAAAAACACACTTATACAAAGAACCCACAGAACCCATACATTATTGTAAAGCACCTACCAAAGCCTATACTGTGAAAGCAGTTATTATCCAAAGACCAAATGGTGGTCTTGCACAACAGCGAGTGAAAGTAAGAGGATATAACTGATATGGATAGGAACAGGTGTACGTCTGCATCGAAATGACTTACATCGACCTCTGCTGGGGCAGTTAGCTGGCAGCTATTCTGTTTCCACATGTCCACACACTAAAGAAAGAGCACAGAGGTTTATTACTACAGATGCACAATGATGTTGTAATCATATCTCCCCCTCTACTCTACTAACCCAAACAGCATGAAAACAACCCCATGAAGACGCATCAAAACATCTAGCCAAATTGCTGATTTCTGCAAAGATTCATATTAGATTCACGAAGCTGTCTCAGCGTATTCTGTGAGGATTTTGCAGTGCAAAGTGTAAGCAGTCTCTCACATTGCCAGCTTTGGAGATCTTGAGGTCCACAAAAGGTGTTGATTTCCTTTCTTTCCTTTTGTGCAGGTAGTCAAGCAGTCGGAGCTGGGGCGGCATAGGAAGATGAGCCAGCTCCTGCTGCCGGTTCAGTGCCGCTCGTGAGTACCTCTTAAAACACCTGAAACACAAAAAAGGCAATATGTTAATATGAGCCGAACCCAAACAGGGGAGACACCGAATTAAGTCTTACAACGCATAATTCTACACTGATGGATCTGGCATCTGTCTTTTAACTTATGGTAGACTAACAGACACACGAGTACAGTGCTATATCCGCAATCTAAGATCCAGACCAAGGGTGTCTAAGTCTGGACCTGGAGATCTCCAGACCTGGATTTGTTCTCTAACATTCAGATATTCCCAAAGGCCTCGATTAGCAGGGATCAGGTGTATTAGGGTGTTGTACATATATCTCAGTCATGGTTTCTTCTGCATATGTGAACACGCCAAACAAACTCAGACCCCACTAAACGGCCCCAAAAACGAACCGAAGTGAGACCACCTCTCTTTGTAGTTCGTTTTGTGGTTCGACTGATTTGTGCCTTGTGAAAACAAAACGGCCCCAGTCCGCTTTAGCTTTGCTTTATGGTGAAGACCTCGAGGCTCACCGTACACACAGCCACAGCTGTCCACACTTCAGCAGGTAAAAACAGACCAGCTGCTTTCAACGCTGAATGAATGAAAATTCAGAAAGGGAACCTGAAAGGGAACCAACTACAAATGACCTCAGTTCTTTTTGCTTTCACAATGTAAGTGAACTATAAAGAGGACTCAGTTTTCTTTCTGGTCCCTTTTAGCACTGATGAGATCTCAGACCACAACACCATTAGAACTCAGACCCCTTTCACACCACTTACAGCGCAGTGATGGCAAAGCGGGCAGTGTTCTCTTATAAATCTGACCTTCCAGATGGTGAAAGGAACTACTAGCCCCACTTCCTTCTCTCCTATTGACCGCACTGAAACAATTGGCTGAAGCACATCATGCTAAATTGGAAAATGACGCTGTGTATCTGCCACGGTGGGTTCCATTTTCAGCTGTGCTCCTCAATGAGCTCCAACCGGCTCTCGGAACTTAGTGCTTCAATATGTCAGGGCTGCTGTTTTGTCGCAGATCACGGACAGGCTTTATCCTGAGTAGAACCTTATAATGATCCTTGGTCTGTTTTTACCTGCTGAAGTGCTGAAGACTGTGGCTGTGTGTACGCTGAGCCTCGAGGTCTTCACCATAAAGCGAAACAAAAGCGGACTGGAGCAGTTTTGTTTTCACAATGCACAAATCAATCGAACCACAAAACAAACTACAAACGAACCAAACTCAGACCCCCTCGAGAGATGGTTTCAGTTCAGTTTGTTTTTGGAGTCATTTAGAGGGTCCGAGTTTGTTTGGCGGGTTCACATATGCACAGAAAAGCATGACTCAGCGGTCTGAGTCCACTTCAGACACTGAAACGCCCAAATGTGAAAACACCCTTAGACAGGGATGAAACTAAACCACCAGGGCCAGACTTGGGCACCCCTTGTCTAGAAAAACCGCTTCCTGTTTTTAACCGCAATAGAATTGTTACAAAATGCAGAAAAAAGGGGGAAAAAATTCTGTCAGGCTGTTTTTTTTTTGTTTTGTTTTTTTTTTAAATTGAGCAACTCCCATCTTGAAGCCTTAGCCAGGGCACAGGACAAGCCCACATTTATTCTTCAGCAGATGGGAGCCCACATTGCATAACTAACCCAGAAATTAAAACAAGATTCATTCTTTCCATTGGTTCTACATTCCAAACACACTGAGCTGTCCCTCTCCTGCCCTCACACTCTCCCCGCTGGCACTAACAACACTCTCAGAGAGTGACTGACACACACACACACATCTCCAGGACAGGAATTTAACATGGACATGCACTATATTTTCTTTTCAGTGGGGAACTATCATTCAGAATACTGTACAGCCCAGGACGAGGCTTAATCCCTGTTCGGATACCAACCCATAAAGTATTGAACTGGTATAGTGTAGCGGGTATAGTGTAGCGCAGGGGTCTTTAATTAAAATTCAGTAAGGTCCAGTTAGAGAAAATTTCCTCAAGCAAAGTTCGGGAACATCATAATGTATAACTTGCATCATGATTCAGTGCCATAGACTGTTTACTGAAGTAGCCTAGTAGTTATATCAACGTCTTATACAGTCAACAACTGAATATCAAATCAAATAAAGTACAGTTCAGTCATATTTCAACAACATTTATCAGTTTTCTCTTTTTAGAGCCGCCGTGCAAAATAACTTCCCTCTGACTCACTTTCTTCTCCGACTGCTGTGTCTCGCCCCATCCCTCCCCTGTGTGTAAGTCACTCACCCGAGTCGCAGTGCTCCTCGTAATGCACAGATCTGATTGGCTGAGTAGAGATGTATGATATGTACAATGCATGCGACCTGTCTGAGTCTCCCGGACCACTAAAGCCGTACCGTAAAGGCTAGAAAAGTTATGCCGAAATTAAATAATTCTCCATAGTTTATTAGCTATAGGTCCAGGTCCGCATAGGACAGCGTCTGGGTCCGGACTTGGACCGCAGTCCACCTATTAGTGACCTCTGGTGTAGCTGGGTAACACCTTTGCCTTCTATGCTGTAGACTGGGGTTCAATCCCCGCCTGGGTAAGTACTCTACACTATACCAATAAGAGTCCTTGGGCAAGACTCCTAACACAACCGTCGCCTACCTGTCTAGAAATGCTCAAATTGTAAGTCGCTCTGGATAAGAGCGTCTGCTAAATGCCATAAATGTAAATGTAAATGAACTGGCTCAGCATGCACTCACACTTGCTTTCACCAGCCAGATGGGCTGGTGTGACTATAGGTGTTCATTCCAAATGAGCAGGAGCTTGTTTTCCAAACAACTGATCAGGTGTGCTCCTGCTTGATTTAAATGGCTCTTTGCAGATAAGACTGGACACCCCTGGTATACATAGCGTGTACATACAGCATGACAGCATGTGGGCCTGTGCCTGGTAACAGTTAATCAAGTCAACACAGTGACAGTGCCCGGTGAAGGTAAAAACTAATTCGCTGCCAGTAAATTTTGAGACAGCCCCAAACTCTGAAGTGAACACGGAAGCAAAGATAGTGAGTTGAAGCAAAGTGGAAAAAAATCACAGGCACAGGCCTTTTGCCATGGATTGTGCATCTGGTTGTAATAATTGTGAAATCTTTTACAGGCCACATGCACAGACTGAACACTTCAACAAGATTCTCTGAGTAAAAAGGATGTACTCACTGTTAGCTCTCGAGCACACACACACACACACACACACCACACACACACACACACAAACAGGCACAAAACACACATACATAGAAAGACCCTAAACCCTTGAGAATGAGGCATCAGTCACCGTTTCATAGAGCGCGTGTTCATTTTCTGCTTGTTGTAGAGAAGCCGGTTGGAGGTGCAGGTGACTGAGACAGAGGGGTCCAGACACAGAGGCTCTGCTGTGGCCAGGATCAACTGGCTTTCAAGCTGCAGCTTATCATCCTACAAACAGAAAAATGAGAAGACTCAGATCTGATGAATAAGACAATCTTGCATTTCATTTCAACGCAGAGCTGTATAAACACTGTTATAATACAAACACTATTACAACAACAGGTCACTAAACCCTGCCAACTCTCTTGCTCAATCTTTGATAGTCCCATCTGTGTAAAAACCAAGGAGAATACAAATGACTATACAATCTATGTGAAAACTGGCATTTGATAAAAACTGTCTTCTTGTTCTGATTGGCTGCCCAGTATTGTGTTTCATTCAAAAGGCAGCCCAGGCCAAAAAACTCCTTTTAACATCAATGTGAATGAGTGGGGCTAGACTGCTAAAGGCTGAACGAGCGGAAATACACTGATCAGGCACCTCCTTGTTTCTACGCTCATTGTCCATTTTATCAGCTCCACTTACTATATAGGTCCACTTTGTAGTTCTACAGTTACAGACTGTAGTCCATCTGTTTCAGTGGTCAGGACCCCCTGGACCCTCACAGAGCAGGACTGCAGCAAACTCCAGCAGCACTGCAGCAAACTCCAGCAGCACTGCTGCGTCTGATCCACTCAGACCAGCACAACACACACTAACACACCACCACCACGTCAGTGTCACTGCAGTGCTGAGAATGATCCACCACCCAAATAGTACCTGCTCTGTGAGGGTCCATGGGGGTCCTGACCACTGAAGAACAGGGTAAAAGGGGGCTAACAAAGTATCAGAGAAACAGATGGACTACAGTCTGTAACTGTAGAACTACAAAGTGCACCTATATAGTAAGTGGAGCTGATAAAATGGACAATGAGCGTAGAAACAAGGAGGTGGTCAGAATGTTGTGCCTGATCGGTGTATATAAATGAATTGATTTCCATGACATTATAAATACTATTCATTTATAATTCAAGAGCTTAATTTCCATGGACCGAGAGGAGACAGGGAGTGAATGGTAGGTTTTGAAACTTTTAATAATGTTTAAATACTTCAAAAAAATGTAAGCAAGATCTGTTTCTCCACTATATGGTCCCTTTCAGAAAAGCTCTGAAATATCAGCACAAAGAGCTTTTATGAAACAATTTTAAGTGCTTCCTACCTGTGTCCACTTATGGTGATCACTTGTCATGGCATGGACATCACAGATCAGGGTCTGTAATAAAGCACAGGTCAGGATTCACCACGAGTACATGCATAGTGACCGCAGCTGCAGCTTAATTGAAAGATATCGAGAGACCGTGCAATGCCTAAAACAGCAGAATATACCGCCCATATACACTGAGCTGAGACCAGTTGCACTCTTAATGATTCTGGGTTTGAATTTTAGCTTGACAACACTACTTCAGCACCTGTCCTAACGCTCACCTGCATAGTGGGTCTCAGCAGTACATGGCGACTCTGATAAGAGGCCGTCTTGGCATTCCCCGATTGTCGGTAATCTCGGACCTCTGCGATTACGCAGCCACAGTGAAATATGTTCACCTAAAAAAAAAGGAGTTTAAATGACACAGAATGCAAACGCTTAGTACAGAAGAGTCAGACTTAAATGGAGACATCACTCAAATCAGGAGCACTAAGGCTACGTTCACATTACCAGGCTGAAGTGGCACAAATCTGATTTTCTGCCCTAATGTGACTCAGATCTGATGTTATCAGAGCTGTGTGGACACGCAAATCTGATCTTTTCAAATCCGACCTGAGCCACTTTCATATGTGGTCCTAGATCGGATACGTATCCGATTCGTGGCCATGCGACCTTAATGTGACGCTCGGATCAGAATTCATGTACTTTTTTCTCCACTGTGTGTGCGCCATCATTCAGCGTTACCATGGCAACAGCGCCAAACAGAAGTTAAAGCCTGTAAAGAGAGCCTGTCAGAGAGATCGGACTTGAGCAAAAAATCTGATTTGAGCAACCAGGCTTGTAATGTGAATGTAGCTTAATAATCAGTGTGCTAAATGTCAGATTGTGCTCCATAAAACCCCAATCAGAAACAAAGGAAACTCAAAATTTCTTAAGAGAAAACTCAGTAAATAAACACCTCATATTTATGGTAGTTTCAGTCTTGTATTGTTAGCTTTTGAAATACCAACAATATAACATAAGTACTGATTTTGGTTTGAAGAAATAAAAAAAAAAACAAGAGGCATAACAAAACCAAAGGACCTTAATGTTAGAAAAAAAAAAACTTTCTAACTGCATAAAAATTGTTGTCATGTGGATATAAATCACCACTGTCTTCAGCACTGTTGCTTACTTGTGATTTTTCAAGAAGGTCCACCAGGATAGGGGGCAGCTCCTCAGCGTCCAAGTAGTCCAGTAGCTCTCCTTCTTCATATGGAAGCCGAATTGTCTCTGAATCTGACAAAAGACATACAAACAGTAAAGCTTTCTCTCCATCTGCAATGCAGTAAGGCATGTATCTTTCTGGAAATAAATAAATCGGGCATATTACTTAACAGACTTTGTCTGAGCAGTTCTTCTCTATGGGAAAAATGAATGCCATTATAGCTGCTATCTTGCCCTATGGTAAACAAATCCTTTCCAAATCCGATATTATTTGTCACACATTTATTTTTCCCTCAAATTTCACCAGATCCTCTGGATTATGGGTGCAAATATTGCTATATATATGACAACACCGCTGTGCACTGAACTGACATCATAAGACTGGCAACCTCACCAAAATACTGCTTAAAGCTGCTTTAGCAGTAGTAGCCTACAGCTCGAGTAGCTGATGTTGTTACGGAATAGTGCTGAAGTACAGTATAATCTGTACCCTCTGTAGCTGTACACGGACTATTGAAAGCAGTATTAGTTTTCATTAATTGTCAGGTAACATCAATTCAATGCGCACGAGTATTAGATGGCTTGTTGCATGTATGCCTCAATATCTATATTTTGACTCCTTAATGATCTCTTAATTTAAAGGATCCAGTGACATTTGACAAAAAACACACACATAAAACAAAATGTACTGGGTTTTGCACGACCACCACAATTTTCACAACAACTGTTTGTTTTTCCCCCAAAGAGAAAAACTGCTAGGACCTGTTTGGAAGGACTGACTTCAGAGGTATGTGTGATGTTGGGGAAATATTAAGGAAAGAAAGAAACTGCATACCAGATCCATTTTTGCCTCTGAGCATCAATGTGTATCCTTCATTTCCAGGGTACAGGTTGACCACTAGACACGAGACTGACTCCTGTGACACCAGCTTCTCTAGTAGATTCACATTTCTCCTAAGCTTCTGTGAAAAGAGAACTGGCATTACTATTACTGCGATTCAGGTGGAACATTTCTCTGCTCATGTGCAACACAAAACGCTCTCAAACGTCTAGGCCATTCACAGTATCATACTTTATGTCACACACTGTCAAAACCAAAAAAGTTATTCTTAATTATTCTTAATTTCTTATTACAATTCAAAGATTTGCGGATGCTACATGAAAATAAATCTGCTTTCTGGGTGTTACCTTTAACTCTGGCTCCTTTTCACACTCTTCAATGTACAATTCATAGAGTTTCTGATATAAAGACTTCCTCCCGCTGGAGGAGACCCTTCTCCTAGCCGGTCGTTGTCGAGCACTTTCGATGATGTACTGGACATAAACAAAGTTATTCGTAAGCATACTGAAAACACAAGACGAGACCACCACAAATGACACACAGGGTGAATCATACAATGAAACATTTATGTGACAGACAACGTTACCTCAGCCCGATCCAATGCATATTCTAGAACTTGTTGCTGCAAAAAAGAGACCAAAGTTTTAGTGCAGGCACTAAACATGCACGACCTGCTCTCACACTAATTTGCAAGCAAAGGTCACTTTTGCCTGCAGCGACCAAAAAACACAAAGTGGAGACGAGCTGCAAAAGAAATGAAGCACATTCGGAGGACAAGCAGCACTCGTAGGCTTACCATTGTGATCCACCACCAGTTGCTGTGTGACAGGAGGTGATGCTGTCCTTACCCCAAAACTGTCACGTCCATTGACAGCCCATTCAAACCCTGAGGTCAGAAAGGTAGTTTTAGTTTCCTGAATGCGCTCTCCGCCAGAGTTCTCCATACAATTCACCGCTTCCCATTAAATCATTAGACGTGATGTGGATGACACGAAAAAATAATTAGAGCAAACTTTGTGAAGCCTCATTAGGGCACCATTAACAGTTAGCTTAAGCACTGAACAATTTCAACAACTGGCTAACAGAGTGACCAACATACAAAAGCAGAGTATCAGATTAGTGTCCACAAGATACACAAACGCCAGACTGTGGAGAGTGAATGCTGTGCAAAAGTGTTTACAGAGGACGAAATAAGCCCACAGTGTAACTGTTATCAGGCTAACTTCACTGCGAATGGCTGGGCTGAGCTAAGCTGAGCTAAGCTAAGCTAAGCTAACAGGCTAACCGTGGCTCCCTCAGCGCTGCTGCTACCCGAAACGCTGCAGAAGCGCGGCGGGCTCCGCGAGCGCGGACGCGGCTGCATTAAGACGCTGCGGCGAAGAACGTAAAGACGGACTTGCCCGGTTCGGCGCATCCCCGCAGCTCGAGAGTGCAGAGCAACCAGCACGAACAAACGCTCCTCCAGTGCCTTCAATGAAAAAAACTCACAGCAGCCATTTTCTTCCAGTGTAACAACAAAATCCAAACTTCCGGCGAGAGAAGGAGGCGGAGCGGCGTCGGCGGAGGAGTCGATTCGCTTTAGGGAACCGATTCGCAGTACTGTCTGACTCAATGAACCGAGCGATTCAACTAGGAAAGCGATTCAACGGATAAAAACAAAATAAAACTTTTAAAACGTGACCTTGAAGTTGCGCACTAGCATCGGTACACATTCAGCTGCGCGGGCGCTCAATCACCGTCAATATGTTGAAATAAAGGTGTCAAATAGGTGCCATGCTTAAACTACAAAACCCACAATTCTTATGAGTAGATAGATAGATAGACAGACAGACAGACAGACAGATAGATAGATACATAGATAGACAGACAGATAGATAGATAGACAGACAGACACAGGGACAGACAGACAGATAAATCGCCAGATAGATAGATAGATAGATAGATAGATAGACAGACATAGGCACAGACAGACAGACAGAGAGACAGATAGACAGACAGACAGACAGACAGGCAGATAGATAGATAGATAGATAGATAGATAGATAGATAGATCACCGTCAATATGTTGAAATAAAGGTGTCAAATAGGTGCCATGCTTAAACTACAAAACCCACAATTCTTAAGAGTAGATAGATAGACAGACACAGGCACAGACAGACAGACAGAGAGACAGATAGATAGATACTTTATTGATCCCAAAGGAAATGTTGCAGCCAGTATCAGTCACACAACATCGGACAGTGATAATAATAAGGGTGAAACAATATAAAAAGATGAATAAATACAAAAAAATCTACAGGCATATATGCAAATAGAAATATACAAAAATCTGCAATAAGAACTATAACCGGAGATGAAAAAGGCAGTGCAATAACAGCATATAATGACAATACTGAATGAAATATGTGCATATATTGGTACGGAAATAAAGTGTCCAGGTGTGGAGTGTCCAGATGTGCAAGACGTGCAATATGGGGTACAGAAAATGCAGTATGTACAGTAGGGTGTCCATATGTGCAGATGGATAAAATAAACCTATGATTTAGCATGAGATTCAGACTCATCCTCATCTCTCCTCTTCCCTTCTTCTTCTGGCCTCACTGGGAAGAGTTGAAGAGCCTGATGGCTGTCGGTTGAGCAGTTCTGTGACAGCAACCCGCCACTAAACATGCTCCTTTTGTCCGTGATGATGGTGCAGTGGGTGGCCAACATCCTCCATAATGACGCTGAACCGTGTGCTTGTACTGGGTCGGTATGTCCAACAGGTCAAAACAAGCTCAAACTAAGTGCGCTGTGCCCTGATTGATGTTCTTGCTTTGTGCTTCTTTCGTTTTGACATGTTACACTGAAGATAAACACCAATAAACAGCAATAATCATCGCCGAATGCCTTAGTCACAATTTAAAAAATAAAAGTAATTTTTATAAACGCGCGCGCGCACACACACACACACACACACAAAGATAGTAAAAATATATACCATATAAAGTCCACTGCGGTCGTACGTCAGTCTGTAGTCCTCGTTATGCCCATATTAGGAATTCCGGGTCTGAGCTCCATTTGCTCTATGACCAGAATGAATAGGGTTTTAGAAAAATCGCCTCTAGCGCCCCCTGTGTTCAATACAAATGTTCAGAACCCGATTCGTTCTGTCCTTGTGAACATTCTTCTCCTGAATATCACTCGATCCTCTGAGTTACGAGATTGTTAAAGAGCTGAAATATGAATATTGCTCCATGTGAGCTAAAGCTACTGCGCCTCAATTTGATGTCACTAAGCTACACGAAGCTAAAGCGGGCTGTGCCGCTGCTCTGACGAGCTGAGCTACCTTATCGAAATGTTATACTGTAGCGCATATTTACAGAAATACCTGTGAATAAAACCTCTGGGTGGGATACTTTGATAGGCTAAAACTCCTTATACTACCCGTGTTAAAACTACGAGGCTGAATTTAGCTTCTTGTTTAAATGTTCCCATTCCACCTTTAATAGTGCATCAGCTGTGACTGGCCATCACAAACATCAGCAAACTAGACAAAATACTGACCTGTCGGTTCTGAGAACGTTAAGTTAATGTCGCTCAGCTGTTAAGCGGGAATAGAGAAACCTCCTCATATCAGGCCTTTCAACCCTCCATGAAGCTGAACTCAGCTTCTTTTTCTCCGGCTGCTTGTTCGAATTTCCCGTTCCACCTTAAATGGCGCAGCTGTTCAGAATGTGACCGCGGCACCATTTAAGGTGGAGCGGGAGAAGACGAACAAAAAGCTGGCGAATGTCCTGAGAAAAATGTTCCCAGCATTAAAATAATAATGAGGACATTCTGAGAGCCTAAATCAGTTTATCAGGGTGAGCAGTGATCATTAAGCCGAGTCGGTACCGGATCAGCCCGAGTTCAGGTTCGTTTGTAGAGCTTTTCAAATCCAGCTAAAAGAAGAGATCTATCGGGTTTCACTGAGCATCAGGTGAAGAACAGAGAGCTGCAGGGAAACCTGCTGATTCTGTTCAGACTCCTTTTCATTTGCCCTCAGGCTGAACATGGAAATGTACGCTGCCTAAACCCGCTTAAGGAGGCCGCCAGTCTAATGACGGGAATTCAGAGCGCAGTAGCTTCAGCTCACATGGAGCAATATTCATATTTCAGCTCTTTAACGACCTCGTAACTCAGAGGATCCAGTGATGTTCGGGAGAGGAATGTTCACAGGACAGAACGAATCGGGTTCTGAACATTTGTATTGAACACAGGGGGCGCTAGAGGCGATTTTTCGAAAACCCTATTCATTCTGGCCATAGAGAAATGGAGCTCAGACCCGGAATTCCTAATATGGGCATAAGAGCGTGACGCCGACTACAGAATGACGACACGACTACAGTGGTCTATAGGCGATATATAGTACAGTCTGGTTTCCATAGTTACCGAGCAGCGCTTATGACGTCACAGAGAGACCGGGCTTCCCTATGAATAGCTGAAATTTCCAGCCTCGCGCTCAATTCGGTAAGTTGAGCGTGTAGCGATCGGATGTCCCGATAGTTACCTGCAGTTCTTCATGTAGAACAGCGTGGAGCTTCTCTCGGACACAACCGGATAAAAGGTGAGGACAGTTTTAACATCATTTACACCCCCGAAAAGAATGAGAAATAGAAGATAATTCGGAAATGAAGAGCTAAATCAGGACATTGAACCACGACAAAGAAAAAAACAACCAGAATAGAGCATTATAATAGAGATACGAAGCATAATATAGCATTATAATAGAGAAAATAACCATAATAGAGCATTATAATACAGATAGGAACCAGAATAGAGAAAAAAATAATCATAATAGAGATAAAAAAGAATTAACTAATACTAAATTTAAGGTGGAACTGGTATTAACATAGCACTCAATTTAAGATGGCACAGAATTTAAGGTGGAATTTCAATTCACGTAGTATTAAATTTAAGGTGGAGCCGTTATTAACATATCACTAAATTTAAGGCGGAACAGAATTTAAGGTGGAACTTCAATTGACATTGCATTAAATTTAAGATGGCACAGAATTTAAGGTGGAATTTCAATTAACATAGCATTAAATTTAAGGTGGAACCAGTATTAACATGGCACTAAATTTAAGGTGGCACAGAATTTAAGGTGGAATTTCAGTTCACATAGCATTAAATTTGAGGTGGAACCGCTATCAACATATTACTAAATTTAAGGCGGAACTGAAATTGACATAACATTAAATTTAAGGTGGAACTGCTATTAACATAGCACTAAATTTAAGGTGGAATAGAATTTTAGGTGGAACTTCAATTAACATAGCACTAAATTTAAGATGGCACAGAATTTAAGGTGGAACTTCAATTAACATATCATTAAATTTAAGGTGGAACTGCTATTAATAGTCACTATATTTAAGTTGGAACCGAACTTAAGGTGGAATTATCATTCCATAGCATTACATTTAAGGTGGAACTGCTGTTAACATATCACTAAATTTCAGTTGGAACAGAACTAAAGGTGGAATTATCATTACCTAGCATTAAATTTAAGGTGGAACTTCAATCAACATAGCTCTAAATTTAAGGTGGCACAGAATTTAAGGTGGAACTCTTTTTAAGGTGGCACCAAATTTAAGGTGGAGCAGAATTTAAGGTGGCACTCCATTTAAGGTAGCACGAAAATTAATTTGGCACACAATTTAAGGTGGAACTTAAATTAACCTAGCACTAACATTAAGGTGGAACAGAATTTAAGGTGGAACTTCATTCACAGTAGCAACTAGCAAAGAATTTACTTCCACCACGGATACTGCAGCTTCTGCTTAGGAATATTTTGGCAACATTTTAACAGCTATCAAAAGTCTTCAACCATCTTACCGTTTTAACGTAATTAACTGGCTTTTTCAAGCCAACTTAAAGTTCGTTCACGAACTTTCCCTTTTCTAGTTATTGTTGTTATTGTTACTGGGCCTATTATTATTATCAGGTATGATCTCTTTGATGCTGAACTTGTATGTAGTTCCTTAAATAACCTTGTTTTGTGTTTTAAGATTTCAGGACAGACATGGCAAAAGAAGCGTTTCATAGCGCAACAGCAGGTTCGGAGCCTGATGACGTGACTTTGTCTATGGACGTCACCAGATTCCTGCAGAGCCTGACTGATCGGTATGTACTCAACACTGACTGGTGCAGCCAGGATTTAATATTCACCATCATGTTTACAAATATATATATATATATATATATATATATATATATATATATATAGGTTATATATAAAACCTTGTATCTCCAGAATGGTAACTTTACAGCAGAAGGAAAAAACCTACTTTACTTTTAATGTAAGTCAATGGAACCAGAATTTTGTACAAGTAATTTTGGGCCGTTTCTTTTTGTCCATTCATCATGAAATTTACACGCAATATAAAGAAGAAAAGGCATTTTCAAAATATGTCAAAAACTGGAAAATGACAAAAATGGAGATACAAGGTTTTCTTCCAACTATGTATATATAGTTAATGTTAAAAATAGGTATATTTGATATATGTA